GGATTTTTTTTTTTTTTTCGACTGTTGGTGCCAATATATATGGTCTCTGTTAATGCAAAGAGAGAGAGAGAGAGGGACAGAAAAGAAACGAAAAATTAACACGCAGAAAAAAAGCCCCCTTTGATATATTTTTTTCTCATTTTGCTATACCTCAACAAACGCTTTGTCTCAATTTTCGCCCGGTTAGCGTATCAGCAGGGAATAATCTCCCGTTGCTCGTTTGTCTGGGGCAATTTATTTTTTTGCACGCACTTTTGGACTGTTTGTTCCTAGCTCGTGCTCACCTTTCTCCCCCCCCCCTCTCTGTCTTCTTTGATTTATTTTTTATTGCCCTTATCGACATCAAAGAAGGGGGTTTTCAGCTAGTGATTGAAGAGGAGTGGGTGCTTGCTGGGAAGGGCAATCTCGGGAAACCCCACTGATCGGAAAAGGATTTCCTCGTCTGTGTTTTGTAAACAGGACTGTATATTTGAAAGTGTTACCGTGATCGAAATTTGACCAGAAGAAGATTACCAATGTATTTTGGCCTCTTTCCTGCTTTCTGTTGTACTTGATACAAACATTCCATGGTATCATGTGTAGTTTGCTGTAAGGGGTGTTCCTGCAAGGGGAAATTTGGATTGAGGATGGCACAAAATGTTTGTGCTCCAAAGAGGGTACCCAACCAAAAGCCCCTCTAGGTCAAAAGCCCCCTATCAAAAGCCCCCACCCCCAATTTTTTGTTTTATTTGGATGAGAGCCTCACAACAGTGTGTGGAGGCTCTGAGAAGGGCTGTTTGGTTGCATTGATCCTGAAAAGGACTGTTTAATAATCATCTTCAAAATTGCCTTCTGCTATCTCTTCCTCACAGTCGCTGCTGCTCCACCCATCCTTATTTTTGATTATCTGAAGTGCCCCAGCCATTGTATTGAGAAGGTAAACTTTTGATTGTGCTGGTTTCAGCAAGTGGGGTGTAGTCCAAAAGCCCGCCCCCCTGCCAAAAGCACCCCCCCCCCTTTGGGCAAAAATTGGGGATAACAGGTCTTCTTGTAACTCTTGAGGGTAAGCTGCCCCTCACACCAGCAGGCCCAGAACAAGGCCAAGTACCAATATGTTTGTAAGTTGAGTATATAAAGGGATTCCTCACCTGCAGTGGTCATCAGTGATTCTTTGAATATAATGTCAAAGCATCATCACTTGCTGACTTCTGCAAAATCTACATTTCACCTTGTTGATCCAATGGCTGATGCACTTCAGATCATCAAAAATCAAAAGAGCGGTGAAAAGGCATACTACAATGGCTATTTATTCATGTTTAAGAGCACAAATGCCAGTACTTGGTGCTAGAAATGTGCTAATGAAGAAGGAGATGAGATAAGAGCGCCACATTGAGAAGAAAATGACATTGAGAGCATCAGTGACACTGAGGAAGAGGCTGCAGAAGGCAATTTTGAAGATGATTATTTAACAGTCATTTTTGAGGACTAATGAAACCAAGCAGCCCTTCTCAGGGCCACCAAACACTGATATGAAACTTGCATAAAAAGTGGGGGGGGGGGGCTTTTGACCTAGGGGGGCTTTTGGACTACATAGTAACCAAGAATCTGGAAAAATTATAAGTAATTTAAAGCAAGAATCAGCCATGAAACTTTACCCTGAAAAGTGTCCTACAAAAGCTCCTAATTGAAGTGCAGTGGTTGAAATTTGGTTCCAAAAAGCAAAAAAAAAGATCCTTTCAATAAGTCCAGAATGGAAAAATCTCTTTGATGATTTTTGCATGGCATTTTTAAGCAAACCCGAACAAGTCTATGTATTTTGAGTGGAGCAAATGCTTTGTTGATTCTATTTTTCATGTATTTTTTTCAGGTTTCTATCATTCAGCTCTGAAATTTATTTGAATGCAGTACAGGAAAAATTGTTTATAGTTGGTTTTGTCCTAAAGAAGATCTAGTTTGTAGAAGTTGACTCTTGATGTCAAGTTTCTGTGCTTTGAGGAAGAGTTGATGGATTTATTTCAATGTAAAGTCTGTTTTTATTTTCTTGTTGGTAAGTCCACAATATAAACTGAGGCTGGAATCTTTAGTGGGGACCAAATACATTCACAGAATTTTACTTACAGACACTCAAAAATCAACAAAGAAATCTGCCTTAACATGTGCTGTACAGCAATGTTTGAAGATAATTGCACTTGGTCACCAATGCATATTTTAAAATGTTGATACCTCTAGTGAAAATTGAGCTATTCCACAAAAAAAAAAATTGGGCCATGGTTGGATGAAAGTGGAAAATCAAGGATCAATGACCAATTTGTTAAAGTCTTGGTTAACCTTTCTATTGGAGTCCTCTACCATGAAATTCCATCTACAACAAATAATGTTTTCCTGTTTCTTTCTATAACATGGTAGAGAAAGAGAGAGTTCATCTGCACACTGGTAGTTCTAATTGTAAATTCAGTGTGGGACCTCACTCCGTGAATTCAATCTGTTTGACAAAGATGGTTTTCAACCAGCAGGCTCATTATTGCCCAATAAGTAGTCCTTCAATGTCATCTCCAAAGCTATACAGCTGGTACCTTGCAATTTTACCTCCTCCATTTGACCATCACACATTTCAATGGTCAAATTTGCTGGGAGATTGACTGACAATTTGACCTTGGACTTGCAATTTGATCAACGCTAAATGTCAAATGCAAAATGTCAAATGCAATGTAGAAAACTTGCCATTTGATGTTGTCTTGCGCACTTCGAACACCTGGAAATTAGCTCCTAGGCCAGCACCAGATTAGGGTTGAATTGCAGGACACCACCTTTCTTGTACATAAGCATATGTTTAAAACCTGGATTTTATTGACACTATCTTTCAATTTTGTGCAATTTTGAATCTCTCATTTCTTCAATATATTTGACCCATCTATTCGATATACAGTATTCATATCATAGAATTCGGATATATTTTTGAGTGAAACAAGCTGGAAGAAACTTGGTGGATTTGGATTTTTCCAACCAAGGAGCAAATCCTCCAAAAAAAAAGCCATAACAGATGAAAGCTTTCTCAGGCACATTTTAACTTCCAGGAAAATTATGCCCAAAGTAAAAGGCTAAATACCTTACATTATAACATTCGATATTAAAAAAAAAAAGATCGACAGAATTTTCTTACGTCTTTTCGTCTAATCCCTTCTACAGTTTCCTACGATGTGTTGAATTTACTCCATCTTTTCTGATTATAGCTCTTAGTCCCCTTCATTAGTCTCGTATTCCGCTGTCCGAATGAAGTGATATTCGGGAAGCGTCACATTTTAATGGCAACAGCGGGTTAAAATGATTGACAGAGGAGTGACACCTATGTAACTTCTTCTTCAACGTCATTTGGCAGGAACTGAGAGACAACCTTGAGGAACAGCGTGGTTTTGTCTTCTTGGAAGTTGAAATTGGTTGTCTGTTCACTTGCCAACCAGGATGAGGCCTTTGAGTTACATATGTCGATGCCTGACGTGAGCTAATTGTTCACTGATCTTTCTTTTTTTTTAAAGGCTCAAATGTATACATACACAAGCATCGAATAAGATAAAAATTGGATATTTTTTCAAAAAACCGAAATGGTGCGTGAATTTTATAGTTTTATAGTCAAGGGTAATGGATCTGAGCCCCTGTAGAACTACCAAAAATGGCCAAGCAAAGAACTTGAGTAAATGTTGATTTCAGACATAACTAAATGGTTAGCGAATGATCTTTTGTGGAATGCTGGGCATAAGAAAATATGTCTGGTTGATATACATTACCAATTACAGTTGAACCTCTCTGAATCAAATTTCAATGAATGGAATGGGTGTATGCATACATGTCAGATGTCCAGTTGTATTTGATGTTGTATTCTATTCTCTTTAATTTTTGTTATCAATTTGTGCTTTCCTGCTCTGAAGTGATTAAATGTCATTGAGTGGATTTGGGTTGGGTGGGAAGGGGGTTTGGTTGTGGAAATCTTGATTGAACCTTGTGAACGCTGAAAAGCGGCAAATGAATTGTTCTGCTCATTCAATCATTCATTCAAATTTCAAGGGACCAGCAAACAAATTTGACTTGGGGATTTTTTGAGTTATATAGAAGCATAGATGTTTGTCTTATAGAGTCAAGCATTTTTATTGTTGGAAACATTGAAAAATTGCACTAAATTGTACATATTGATATTCTGGACCTTGAATTGCTTCTAAAATGGATTGACTAGGAAATCAACTTTGAGACACATTTAGTCTGCCACATCCTTTCAAAGCACATCAAATAGCATTTTTAATTTATTTTTTCTTCCCTGTTTCAATGAAACAATAACCTAAAGGCCTAAAAAATTTGACTTATGGAGGTTTTAGAGAAAACAGACCAAGTTATGTGTGTTTTTGAGGCATTGCTTCTTGGGGAAGTCAGATGTGGACTTGAAAAAAATTCAAAATAGGGAGGCATTGGACTTAGAGGTTTGACTTAGTGAGGTTCAACTGTAAATTTATAAATAAGAAATCACATGACTTAGACCAGTTTTCCCCAACCTTTCTGGGCTGATGGACCAGAAAATTTCCATACAAATATTTGTGGACCACTAAGTTTTCAAGAAAGAATTTTCTGGTGAAGAAAAGTTTCATGTTATTTTTGCAGACTCAAAAAGTTTTGTCCAAATGACTTAATGGTAGGTATTTGAAATGGTCTGTTCTTTTGCAAAATCAAGTGAAAGACCAATAGAGCAGCTACTACATGCAGTGGAATTTCTTCAGAACATTAGAAAGGTCGGCTTCAAGAAAAGTTTCTCAAAATGACAAATTAATCTTTGTTTCAGCATGTGAAACTCTATCTGAAGCTTCATCAAGGGAAAAGTCAACATTTATTTTCCATCAGATAATTTCAACTGCCATTGCCTTTTTTGAAATTTCAAATAAAGATTATGTAGCTTATTGCTACTTTAATAATTTTATTCTGCTGAAGAAAACTGCCCACAGCCAGGGAGAAAATAACTTCTATAGACTGGTAACTGGTCCATGGACCATGGGTTGAGGAACACTGACTTGGACACTTTTGAGAATCTAACGAACGTTTTGTTGAAATTCCATGAGTTTGAGCTAAACCCTATCTTCTACCATGGGAATACTGGAGAAGACAAACATCAATAGCATTTCTTCTCTTTGGCTTGTCACTGAATTGACGACAGTGGGGCGCCGTCATGCGCCGCCTCCACCAAGTGTGACGAAGTGGCGCCATCAAAGACAGAGTCTGACGGCAGCCCATTGCAGCAGGACGCCATGGAGGACAGCGAGTCGCCCATTGGCAGCTGTGCAGCCTTTGCCTCACCTTCCCTGGCAGAGTCCCAGATACCCGTGTTTCAGTGTCTCTCCACTCAGCTTGGAGAAGCTCAAGACATCATTCAGAAACTGGAGGCCCAGGTTCTCAATCAGGATCGACTCCTCAAGCAACGCGCAGAGATGGCGTGCAAGCGCCAGCACATGTTGGAGGCTAAGGTGTGCACTGTATTTTGTATTTCCTGCATGATTTATAGTGAAATCTCAACATAAAGAACCTTCAGTTGTAACAACTGACTTGGTTTCCAACAACCTTTTGGTGCGTGTCCAGGAAAAATCCCTCAGTCAACAAATCAAAATTTATAGTTAACAAACTTGCATTTTTGGTGGGAAAAATCCCTAATGTGATGGTTAAAAATCAAGGCTGTAATGTATGGTGGAATGTAAGTGCGAATAATTCACCTGTACACTGCAGGAAAATTCTTTCTTCCTGGCTCTTGAATATGTGTAGCCTTGTGGTTTAAAATTTGTTTTATCTACATCATTCATGTAATCATGAATATGCTTTTCTGTAGCAGAATTATTTTCTTTCATGTACATTTTTGTTTTCTAGTTGTTGCATTGTAAGAAAAATCCATTTATTCTTGCAGCAATAAAAATTAAATTTTGTTTTCACCTGATATGAATTCTTTGTAGTGTGTGATTCTCTGCTACGCAATCTGCAATGCCACTGAAAACAGAATCAGCCCAAATTTAAAAAATCATGTTTTGTATATGCGTTGACAATGCGCAGTCAATGCCAATTCAAAAATGCCCTTTTTTTACACTGTTGAGAGAAGTTTGGAGATTGGCGTTGTCAACTACTTGTCATTCTGTTCTGGTAACGTCAATAAACTAAAGGGCATTGGCGGCAATCAGCCCCATTCTGAAAATGGCGCTGCAATGGCATTGTCAACGCCATTCTTAAAATGGTTCCTATCTCAAGGCTCCCATTATTTGCTGGGTGATGGCTGTGAAGGTTTTTAATCTTCACATTCATCAGCTATATGGAAACCCATATAAGACTGTTAAAATATTCTGGGAGTATGCAAGGGTATATAAAATGCACTAACAAATTATCATAGTCAATGACCTTTTTTTTTATAGCCCATGTTCAAGTGGCTTCAGGATTCACAGAATGAATTTCATTTTCCCCAATTGAAGTTTTTGGGATGATTTATATAAGCTGAACTTTTTAGTTAAATAACTTTCATCTGGAACCAATTAGTTCATCAACCCAGGTGGCAGCAGGTTATTCTTTTGCATGGTGCAGTGGTGCCAGGATTTTATTTCATTTCGCCAAATTCAGGAAAAATCCTGCAAAATGAAAGTCATTGTCCTGATAATCCCCCAATGCTATGGCAGGAATGTAGAAAAATTCCCACCCATCAGCAGAATCTTTTTTTTTTCTTCTCTTCTTGAAATTTTTTTCTGCAGTAATACTAAAATCATTTGGGGGGTTTCCCTGCTTGGCTCTTTTCATAATTTTTGTTTCCCCTTTTTTCTACTCTTTGGGGCACACAATTTTGAGGATAAATTCTGGCACCATTGACAAAGGGTTAACCCTTCCATGACAAAGGGTTCTTGCCCATTGTGGGAGCTTAAGGCGCCATGAATGACAAGCCAGATGGCTTAGGGCAAAGTGGGACTTTTCTGGCTGAAGACATGTTCCTAATATTTCTCAGAGTTGGACTTATAATGCTAATCTTTTGTGGTCTCTGAAATGGAAACCCTTCTTCTGAATCCAAAAAAGAAACATTTGAGAACCTGGATATTATGAAAATAATCCAGAGAGAGCATAAATAAGCTCAGCCTTCCTGATGCATTTTTTTGGCTTAAATTTGTCTGCAGTTTTTGAAAAATGTGCCAAGAGTTTTCTGGATTTGGCCCTTGGTTACCTATTATGTTTTTTCAAAGCTGTCCAATTTGACAAAAAATTTTGCAGAACAAGTCAGACTTTGCCAGCCCAAGGTTTAACCAAGGGATCACTATGCATAACAAAACAATCATTGCAACAGTGCCATCATTTTTCAGGTCGTTTCCGAATAGCACTAATGCTTGAAGAGTTTCTTCGTAAATATGAGTAACATTGCTAAGAATGTCTCTCCCAGTCTATACAAAGAAATTTTGGAATATCTGGCAGCCCATCATTTCAGTGAACAATGCACTCCTCTTCATGTTTCTGAAATCCAAGCATATAATATAAAATTTTCGGAAAATGTTTTGGTCAAGGTTCGCGAACTGGAGTCCAAGAGGAACTCTGCCAATGCCATTGGAGAAGCTGCCCGGGCTCTGGAAACTGCAACAGACAAGATGCAAACAGAACTGGCCGAAGCGCAGCAATTGCGACTGAACCTGAATCGCGCAGAAAACCGCATGCGCGATTTACGCGCGGAAAACGAGCAGATGAAGACGTGCATAGAGCGCATGAAGGCCAAGATGTTGGAGGCTGAGCAGTGCGGGTCCCAAGCCGCACAGAGCTGGAAGCAAAAGTGCGAGACGCTCAAGGCCGACGTGTGCTGTTTGCGCAGTGCTGCCGAGGATTTGTGCGGTCAGCTTCATCAGGTGCCGAATATCAGCTGATTTACAGTTTAACTCACCACCACACAATTGATTTCCCATTAAAAAAAAAGCCATTGTGATTTGATTGTGACGTATACACGATGAGAGCAGGCGAACAAAAAGTGCGCGACGCTGCAGGGTGTGCAGACGCGACTGCGCGATACATGCAACGACATCTCGTCGACCTCTTTGTCAACTGACGCCGTGACTGAACGCTCTGACGTCAAAGGTGGCTGTGCTCTCGCGGGAACTCGTCCGTCCCGCACCTCTGCTGATATTTTCGTGGCCAGCCTCAACCCGACTCTCGCATTGTACCATCACTAAATATTATGCGACCGATATGAGTTTGGGTAAGAGACCTTTTTCACGACGAGGACTGTGAGTGACTTGAGTGAGGGATTTACATAAAACGTTCCATTATTGACATCAATATTGCTGATGTGATTATATTGATTCTTGGTAGTCAATATTGCTTCTGTTATGTTCTACCTATGTTCCCTTCCCTTCACGAAATTTGAAATTTTTCGTCGTATTCATGCTGTAATTTTGATGATGAAATGGGAGATTTGATTTCATTCAAGATTTGTTCAAGTTAGGCGTGATTTGTTTTCTCAGCTATCCATTATACAGTAATATTTATATTTAAATGAATGAACAGAACACTTTATTTGCCACTTTTCAGCATTCACAAGGTTCAATGGAGTTTTCCACATCCAAACACCCTCTCCACCCAACCCCTTTGCAAATCATTAAATTTGATTTCTCCATTACATTTTTTCAAATGAACAAATGATCTAGCTGATTTATGGCTGAGATATTTGTTCATTCAAATTGACAAACTCCTGATTTAAATTTTGAATNCCACTCAAAGACATTTAATCACTTCAGAGCAGGAAGCAAACCACAGATGGATAACAAAAATAGAATAAAATACAATCCACAAAATACAACTGGACATCTGACATGTATGCATACACCCATTGATTCCCTGAACTTGAAAACGAAATATAAGTTGAAAATTAATTTAAAGCACTAGGTCTTCAGCTTGTTTCTGTATGAGGTTTAATTAAATGAACAATTTAGAGAGAATCTTTTATGAGAAATCATATAATGCCAAAAGTTTATCTTGATCCGTTAAGATTTCAGAAAGGGTCTCTTCATTGAGTTCCAATGTTTGTAAATCTTTATATTTTAATAGAGTGTGTTCTTGGTTATTTGAAATCATTTTTGCAGCCTCAAAAAGAAAATTTTGGAAATGTTGCATTGGTTTCTGCCATATATGGCTCAACTTGTTTCCTGATAAGAGCAACCTTTTGACAATAATTTAATACAAATCCATTTTTAAAATTGATGAAATGTTCATTCAAAATTTAAATCAGGAGTTTGTCAATTTGAATGGAACAAATATCTCAGCCATAAATCAGCTAGATCATTTGTTTATTTGAAAAAATCTAATGGAAAAATCAAATTTAATTATTTGCAAATGGGTGATGATAAAGGGGGACTTTAATGAGACAATGACTCAAGTGCTTGATAGGAAGCAAGTAAGAAAGCCACATATTTCAAAATGAAAAAAATATGTGCAGTCCATGCAGTGGAAAATCACTTGCATACTTTTCTTGGATTTTTAAATATAAAATATGGAAATCCATACAAAGTTTGGATTGGAAGATATCCCTTCAAAAAATTGGCGGTCTCTGAAGTCTCATCAACTTGAAAAATATGACAACATTGCATCAAGAAAGACCACATGTAAACATCTTTTACATTCAATTTTGATTGTATCATTTTTTCGATATTTGCAAAATGCGGGTTCTCAGGGATATTTTTCTGTTATCTTGCAAGAAATTCTGATGCTATGTGGAAACTGTGAGCACAACAGTAGCATTTAAGAACGGGTTCTCCATTTTCTTCAGTGACTGATATCAATGAGGTGAGCAGATCAATAAGTTGATTTGTGTGTATATGATGCCACCTACTTTTCAGAAGAGCTGGACAATTTTGTCATTTCTCCATTTTTTGAAATTGTATTACAGGTGGGGGAAATGGACTACAGAAAGTGGATCGAAGTTTCCATCATGTGAACCACCACAAATGGTGTCCACTATGTCTATTTATATGCATATTAATCCCTGTTATCTCCCATGTCATACCTTCCGTTGTGATGACTCCGTTTTTTTTATTCCATTTTGTGTGATATTATCTATTATTCATTATATGATTGACTTGAAAGCAGCATTATTGACTGCTTGGACATTCTTTACTAGGAATGCTTTTTTGTTGTTTACTGTGTATTTTTCTTTGTATCCATGTTTTGATATATACACCACTGTACTGCTAAAAATCTCCATGTTCTGACTTGTTATTTATACCTAGTTATCAACCCTTGTTTGGTAAAGGCAGGCAATTTTTGCATAATTTCATGCCCATGAGCAATGACAAATTAGAAAACTGGATGTCTAAAAACTCTGAACAAGGGCATAAGTTTGGAAAAAGTGCAATATTTGTTTATACTACAGAAAATATCGCCTCAAAATTAAAAAAAATCCTGATGAGTGGTATTTTTGTTGCATTCCAAGCATAGGATTAACAGAAAAAAATGTCTCAAGACACTGGGATCTCTTGTTTCCATTTTTTTTCTTTACTGAGATCTTTCCAACCTGATAGAAAGGTTCAAGTCAGCTGTGACCTTTGATCAAACTAAAATGCTTCTCCACCAGAAGTAATCCTGACTCTGCTACAGGTTGGAAAATACCCTTCTACTACTGAGGTCTTACAATGCTGAATTCCAGCTACATAACTATCTTCATGAAGACAACCAGTCTAAATTATCTGTTGGATTATAGAAGTCAGCATGGATACCACAGCCATTAGATTATGAAAATCATGATAGGTGAAAAATGGTCAACNTTAGACTTGAGTAAATTTTCGCCTCCCTGATCATCATTCTTCCCAAAACACTTCAGGATGAAGTAAGAAGAAAAAGCCAACAATATACAAACACATCATGTATAGCAGTCAAATTTATTAACAATGAAAATTACGAGACCGTATGAAGGTATTCATTGAAATGTATGAAAAAAAATTTAATGATAGAAAAACAGTGAATGGGACATATTTTCCATAATGAATTCTGGGCAGCATCAGACACACAGGTGACCACATCGTGAATTTTGATGCACACCACATGGTTTTCTCTTGGGCAGCTGCTGGGGAATGTAGAGCATAGTTTTACAGTCAACCCCCATCTAATGGACTTAATAAATGCAATGGACAAGGCTGTTAGACAAGAAGTTCTTCAACCCTTGGACAGCAGAGGGTTCTTTCCCATAGCAGGACAGAGTTTGATTCTTTTTGTATCCTCCCACATTTTCATATTTTCAAAGGTCAGGAAAACCCTTCCAGCGGTGGGCTGAGGCAAAGTTGGGATAAATCCAAAAAGAGCCGGTAGCCTAACTGAGAATTTTTAAAATTTTCCCACAAACATTTTCTATGCCCAAAGAAAAAAACAATGGGATTTTTCCCAAATTTACCCTTAATACCATGTTGACATTTTTTTCTTGCCCTCTCTGAGGTGTAACAAAATTTTGCAGAAATGGTCCAGCTTTGCCACTCAAGAGTTAAACAAAATGAATTATATAAAAATTATAACTCTAATTGTCAACACAAATTTTAAACCAACAGAAGTCTGGCTGATTTTGTCTGTTGGGCAGGAGCAAAAACTGCCTGCAGAGCTTGTTTGTTAGGCAAAAATTCCTTATACAGAGGTTTGTTAGGCAGAGGGCCACTATAATTAAATACTAGTTAATTCATCCACATCCTGGAAACTGGTGCTTATAGAGAGCCCAGCTCCAAAGAACTTGCCTCCCATGAATCCCAAAACCTGCAGTACAACACCACAAGATTACCATTGTTGAATTTGCCTCCCAAAGCCAATCAGAATCACAGAAAAACCAAATAAAGGAAAACCACTTTCCTCACCTTCCTTCTTCCTCCCAAAAACCAAAACTCAGAATTCATTCCACTGCCAATTCTCAAACTTATCAGAGCTAAAAACCTTACATAGATTATTAATGAGACTTTGCATGATTTCCTTGTGTTTGTGTGATTATGATCTTAAAAATTGACAGAGTTGGTGAATTCTGTGTTGGGACAATAATAGAACAAACACTTTTTTGGAGCATCAATAAAGAGGCTCCCAGCCCATCCCATGCTTACTGTTGTTTTGAATTCATCAAATTTGTCCTCTTTCATTTGTTGAGACACTCAGTATCTAAAAGCTGGTTAACAATTCATTAAATTCTGGGCAAAGAGATGGAAACTAAGGATAGCTCAACTCTATGCTGTGAAACAGACTTTCAGTGAAAGTTCCACCATGGAAAATGACCCTTTGTGGTGGTACTGGTGGAAGAGTTAATGACTTGAAAAAATATTCCATCATGCCTGCCTGGTTGAATACCTAGCTGTAACTAGAGGGCATTTCAAAACACCTATAAGGTACGCATTAAATAAAATCCCAAGTAGGCATAACATAGAGAGATACAAAATGCGTAGTATTTTTGGCTAGAAAGGCATTTAAAACGCATTTCAAAACGCCCAAATTATTTGCTGGGTATGCCTGGAACCACTTGGCAGCATGTTTTTTATTGCTTCCATCCCTGCTATATATAAGAACCATTGAGTCACATTTGTGTTGTCAACTTCCACCTGAAGAATCCATCAAAAATTCCAAAGAAAGTTTGTTTTCCTAAACTTGAGAAGTTTCATATACAGAATAGAGATTGTTTTCAAATTTACTATGGCTTCCTGCTGCGACTTGGGAAAACCTTTTTTACTCTAACAAGTTTCCCTCAAAAGTAATGATATTTTTGTATTGATATTTTACTGTAGTTCTGAATATTCATCATTTCTATCTGATTGCAATTAAGCACAGTACTGCTGAACTTTCAATTACTTTGGCCTCCAAGATGTTCAACCATATTCAGTAGATACAACTCCAAAATTTGTTCTACCTGGAAATATTTAAAACCATGCTCAAAAGATTTGGGAAGACCCATTATTGTATGTTGGGCATGAAAAGGAATGCGACTCTCTATTTTCTGTAAGACGACTAAGACAACATTACCTTCTGAAATTGATTCAACAATTAAAATATTTCTTTGAAGCACTTCTTCAGCTTTTTATGAAATATACGAAGTGCTGGTTAGCAGCTTCAAAATTCTTGAACGGTTTAGAATCTACATAGTTTTGGATTTTGTCAAGAATATCCGCTCATATTTCATCACTATAAACGGAGTGGTAGTGTGATACTTTTAATTGGAAAATAATATCAGCTGTCATTCTCCTGTCTTCTTTCAAAAAAAAAATCCTCAATAATGCTTGAATTCTAAATATCTTATATTTTAATTCAACGAGGTAGGCATATCCGCATATCAAAAATCCTGGATATTAACTTGCCGGAACCGTATCAATTTCGATGCAACAATATTGTTTTAAGATTACAACGATCCGAAACGTTCGAAATATTTTTAACATCCGGTTAAGCTTATCTCCAATGAGGGTTACCTTGAAAAGTTAGCAGAGCCGTTTGGTATAAAAGCAGGGAAGAAATGACTGTCAACTTCAGTTAAGAATTGTACAAATATTCAAACTTGAGCTTCAAGCAACATTACGCCAAACCAATCCCAACTTTAGGTGAGCTTTGCTCTGAGTTTTCATTTTTTTATGTGTCAGAAATCAGAATTCCATAATTGAATACCTGTAGAAAGGTGGAACAACTGAAGTTCAAATTACTTTTTTGGAAATAAACGTGGTTTTTTTCATTGCTGCACTAGTGGATCATCATCTGTTGCAATTTTGGTCTTTTATTCTTCAAATTATTCCTTTTCAATTTATTATAGATATAATTCAAGGCTTTATATACCCGTGCGTGTACCAGTTTTCTAACTTGATTTTGCAGAAAAAAGTTTTGCGCAATTTCTTATGCAAAGTCAAGGCAGGAAAGTGGGATGAACCTGGTGTGTGAATAAATTATCTGTAACAAAAAATTATGAAATTAATTGTGTGAGCCTTTTATGCACCACTTAATAAATGAAAATATTGGAAAAGGAATTTTATGATGCTCAAATTTAGTTGAAATGCTGCCTCTTCTTATATTCATTTAATGGTTGGTTGTTTTTTAAATATAATCATATACAAAATTTGATGTAAAACTGGGTTGTGCATGTCATGTGGGCATACATTTGTTTGCTATTTTTATGCAAAAAACTAAGATGCGCATCACACACAAGTATGTTTGGCACTCAAGTACCGGTGGCACCTTGCAATTTCACCCTAATAAATTGCTGGGCTAGGCTCAAATTGTGAAGATGTCAAATTGCAAGAAAATGTAAAATGGGATGTTTTATGCATCAAATTTGACATATTTTGAGTCTCTCAGTGGGTAAAATTGTGGGGCAGAGGTCAAATTGCGAATCAAACTCCTGTAGCAAATTCGACTATCAAATTGCGGAATGGCCAAATTTCAGAATGTTGAATTGCAAAATACAGTGAGACTCCCACAAGCATATACACCTCAACCTGTGGACATTTTGCCATAAGGATATTTATTTTCAATAAAATCATATAAAATGCCTGACATAGGCACACTGACTCAATATGAGGACATTGCATGATACAAGTTCTAATACATTTTAGGAAAATTGACTTTTATTAGGCTCAATTGCAAGAAGCATATATTTCCAACCCTAAGATCTATGTACGAAAAAATTCTCTGGTACTTCTCCCAACACTTTTCCATCCATTCAGCTAAATAAAAAAAATACTTATAGGACAGAGGGACTTCTCTCTTTGTGACATATGTTATTTTTACAGATGCCAACATTTCAATGAACTGTACAGCAGTATACTATTCAATGCTCCAAATGTTCTTATTGGGTTGAAAAGATATTCACTGAATCAAATTCAAGTGGCAAACAAAATTTTTCATTGAATTCTAAAGA